AAGGGCACCTAGCCGAGGGACCTAGAAACCAAACTAGCTTAAAAAGGGAGCTGGCGGTGTCGTCCGTCAATCAACCAGCTTCGTGGGTAATGAGCCACCACCAAGGTTCAAAATGGCGAGTTTTGACCAGCGACCCTTTGGTGGACATGTAGAAGCAATTGTTTGTCCACCAGTTCAAAACGGAGGGTTGGCCAATCCTAGCGTAACCCGAGGATCAAGGATTACCTTTGAACCGCCCAGTTGTTCGGGCTCAGCAGGATTCTTAGCTATGCGTCTATAGTAGATTAAGCCTTTGAGATTAGGTAAGACCAATTCGGCTTGAGTCGCGGACAAAAAATGAATCATGTTCAAGAGGACATGTGAGTCACAATCAAAACCTGGTATTAAAATGGTCTACCCAGAACCATGTAAAGAATTAAGAAGGCGGCAGCAGCTATTTATGGTTGGGATTGTCCCTTACTAACCTTCATCTACCCGGGCTTTGATTGTGGCTCATGTAAAACTGACTGGGCACCTGCTTCGAGCTTCTTGGGGGTCAAGGTGTGAGGTGGGCTTGTGCTCTCAGAGGTCAAAACGCACAACTGCAGCATCTAGGTCCTCCAGCAGAGAGGTTAGAATAAGGGCACCCGATTTTTTCCTGTGGTCTATTTCAGTAGGGGAACCCTCCCCCAAGAAAGGGTGAGGAAGGGCACTACTAGGGGGACCTAGGCATTGTCGCTTGCTCTCATGGGTATGTGGGCTTAACAAAGCCCACAGACATGTGAAGAAGAATGACACGCAGCTGACCTGGGTCATGCAAGAGGCCAAAGCTAGCCTTTACACCGACCCACAAACCGCTTGTAGCAAACTACTTCTCAAATTTCCTGCTTGTCTATTTGTGAGTGATTGACAAAATAAATTGACTTGGTTGAGAGGACATGCAATCATACATGCTCTTGGCCAACATAGGGTCTTGCGAGTTGGCTCCGCGAAGAAGACACAGAGCAGCTTGGGGCATGACGATCCCGGTGCATGTCTACAAACTGCATTCAAATGATCCAAAACACATGTGGCGCTCTCGCGCGCTCTCTCTCTCTCTCTCTCTCTCTCTCTCTCTCTCCCTCCCTCTCTAGATCTCTCTGTGTCAAAAGCACGGAATCTCACAATCGCTCGGGGTTCGTCTGAGCACACGGACGCGCGCACGCGCGCGCCTCCACACACACACACACACAATTACACTGCCTCTGCAAATGGTGATTTCAAGGGAAAAAAAACAAGATTGACCGTGGCTTTGAAGCGCCCACTCCACGATATCATGAAAGCCCATCTCGAAATGGGGAACCCGTTCCGGGCAGCTGTCCCGATATGTCCGGAACGCACATATCCGTTGAGGTAAAGTTGACCCCGGACTAATAAACCCCCTGTTTATCAATATGGGGGTTGTTCCCCTCCAAAAGTGACAAATCCCCACTAAAACCAGGGACACCCCCATATTCACAAACAGGGTGCATTAATCCGAGGTCGACACTAGCAGTCTTTCACAACTCAACTTGGCGAGACAAAGCCACAGGCAACTAGCCAGCGGGGGCATTTTTTTGAGACACAGGCAGGATGATTCGGCGCAAGTTCTTCAGTGCATTGTCCGAGCCTCGTAGCCGATTTCAAATGGCTTCTGGGAGGAAGAGATGCCTCGGCGACTCAAAGCGGCGAATCCAACCCTCCCCCCCCTTCCCCTTCCCCCCCCTTCCCCCCCCTCCCCACCCGCACACCGGCCAAAACCAAGGGATCAAGTGAACTCACTGAACCTCCGGCCATCAATTGTGAAAGTGGGGGAGTGCTTGTCAATTCAAGGAGCCAAAACCAACAGCCATCGGCAGGAGTCAAGGATTGGTTCCGTCCCAGCGTCTCACCCAAACCAGGGACATTCACGGGTCAAAAGGTCGCATCCGAAAACTAGGACGAAACAAAATGCAGCATTGCAGAATTGAGAAAGACATCAAGTGGCTGTGGGTCAAAAATAGGGTCACCCCAAAACGGAACCCCGTTGAGTGGCAACATGGACCAAAACCTGTGGTCTGGTGGTGACTAATTTTGACCCATACCCATTTGGTCAAGGTCAAACAAGGTGAACTGTTGATTTCCCACTCCTTTGGGCTGCACAGCAGAATTGAGAAGACACCGAGTGGCGACAAAAACCTCATTCCTCCGGCGCACGGAGGGTCTGCTGTTTTGGCCCCAGACTCGCGCGGCGCCCGGCGACTCAACTCGCCAAGTGACGAGACCCCCGCCACAGGTCGGTCCTTGGCGGGTTAGCTTGGCTGGCGGCAACCCGCGAGTTAACCCATGGGTCCAAACAGGGACCCTGCAGAACCCTCCCTCAGACTGGCATGACCCATCATGGGAGTCCAAACAGGCACCCTGCAGTAGCCTCAGCCTCAGACTAACATGGAAACTCCCAGAAGCTTCCGGGAAGACTTGGTTCCAGAAAATTATGTGGCCTGCTGGGAGCTTCCGTGCGAGTCTGCGGGAGTGTACCTCTTTCAGGGTCGACGTTGGAACTCCGCGCTTGTTTTTGCATGGCCTTCGAGAGACGAGGCTGAACAAAAGCAAGTGGCAGTCTTGGTCCGAGCAAAGTGTCCTTTTGGGGTAACTCAAAGAAGTCTTCGCTCGAAAAGACAGCCCGGGTCACTCGCTACACCATGCTGCATAAGGATTCACATCTCCGCGGCACTCTGCGCGCGCAGATTTCTGCGTGCAAACACTGCAGGGTGCCTGCTTTCAGGATATCAAAGCGACCATCGGTTGCCAACTGAAAAGTTGCACCTACTCACCTCCTGCGTGGACTGGTCAAAGTACGTCAGAACTTGTCTTTGCCACTGAAAATGCTAGCACAAGAAAGTGACGGCTTCAAGTTCCTGAGTTCTCAAAAAGTGAGCCTAGAAGGTCGCCATCTGCAGTGTTTGGTGGCCTGGAACCTGCAACAACCACGTACAAATGGCGGTTTCCCAAAAACAATCTCCCATAAATTGACATTCTTGATGGAAAACACGGCAGCTTGTATGAATGGATAATAGATACTCTTGATGGGAAATACGGCAGTTTGAATGAATAGTCCTTCTTGATTCCACAAAAAGAAGGAAATCATCGGCTGTTTGGGAAACCACCATTCGTAGCTGGTTGTTCCAGGCTCCAGGTGCAACTTCTTCGGGTCGCCGTTCTTTGCTTCGACCCCGCAACGGACGTCCAGCGAGTTGCGTGAGGGCGCCCCAGGTGGAGTTCTTCACCGCGCGGACCACCTGGCCCGAGACCTCGGGCGGCGCGGCTTTGGGACGTGGCCGGCCAAAGCGCGCGTCGGCGATGCTTCGCGCCAAAAGCGCACGTCAAGGGCGTTTCTTGGAAGCGCTGTGGTTCTGGAAAGATTGGTACAATACCAAAAAAGGTGGGTCAAAAAATAGGGTAGCCCCCAAAGGAATCCAAAAGACTGAAACCCGCAGTCCAATTCCTGGTGATTTGATGTTACCCAATTGGGGGGTTTTCCCTTGGAAAACGCAAACGCCGAAGCAGGGGGGACAAACGAATTCGCCTTGACACCGCGAGTGTGGGACACGAACCATACATATGGGTATACTTCTTTGAGGCTGAGTATCTTTGCTTCACCTTAGTTTGAAAGATAAACTCGAAGGAAAACCGAAGTTCGTGTTTGAAGTCCTTAACTTCATTCACCCAAATGGTTCATGGTTTCCTTTCCCCATGCTAGCAGCCAGTAGTAGGCAACCAGGTATAGTCAGATACCTCGATTTCGGTTTAAGTCATGGTTCCCCTCTGGCTACCTTACTGACAATGGGAAGCACCTCTTGGTGCTTCAAAGGCAATCCAAAATGGGCACCACCGATTTGTTGTTGGGGGGTGGAGGACCAAGATCAGAGGTTGAAAACCGGTTAAAGTGGGCAGGGATTGTCAAAATGCCTCGAATTTGTGGATAATTGTCTTCTGGCCCCCACACACAACAATTTTACCATTTCAGTTGGGAAACCCTTTTTCTTCTTGGGGTGACTCCAAGTTGGCCTTCGGAACCTGCACAGGTCTTTCTTTGTTGCGCCATCTCTCTTTTTTGCTAGCTTCTTGGGGGGTGGTGTTTCAGAAAACTCCGAAGAGGCCAAATGGCTGGCAGCCAAAGGAACCTGCCCCAAAGAGATACTTGGCTCGGTGTTTTGGAAAAAAGGAGCAAACTTGATGCCTCAAAGGGATAAGCATCCCCCCCCGAAAGCGAAACACCGACATGGAACCCCGAGCCAACGCGTGCCGGAAGCTCTTTTGGGGCCGCTGTTCTGGGATTCCGTGCATCTGTGATGCCAAAGTGGGCCATCCGGCTGAATGCACTGAATACCTTGTCACTTTTTACACAATAAGCTCAGGTAATATCCCCAACAGCATGCTGTGCTCTTTTTAATGCTCGCACCATCGCAGAACCTCGTGGAACCCTCGTCGAACCCTGGTGGAACCCTCATGGAATGTCTGACCTAAAAAAACCCAAAGCGCTCAGCTGTTTGGAGAAAAATGGGTGGTGCACCTATCCCAAAATGGTACCATTGGTTTTGAACCATGGCCATATAAACAGGAAACCCATGTTTCTAGGGGTCCGAACAAATCCTTTGGTTTCACAGAAGGCGGCCTCTAACCCAGTTTCACAGCCAAAGATTCCACGTAAACTTTCCGGAGGCCACGGTTTGTCGACTTTCCGGCCCAAGGACAGCCCGACACGCGAGCGGACAAGATATGCTACCCAGGACAGAGTCCCCCATTTGTTCTTTTCAAAAATGAATGGGTCCCCAATCCCAAACCCCGCAGACTGACCATAGACTCAGTTGCCCTTTGACCTGGAAATAAAGAGTCAACAATTTTGGACCAAAACTGGAGAACCAACTGATTCGCTTTGAGTTCGTCTGGATATTTCGACCGAACCTGGGCCGCATTTTTTACGCCATCCGCGCACGCCAGAGAGCAACCCGGGCATTCGAGGCTCACTGCAGGACCTGCCGGAAGCTGAACTGCTTTTTGTTGGTGCCCTAATGCCTGCACCAAGGAAACCCAAGAACCTCTCACGCCAAGAATTGGACGTTGTTTGGACATGTGATTGATGTCCATTCTCAAAGGCGTTCCCCATGAAAGTGCATGTGGGTCACATGACCTCAATGTTAGCTTGTAGATCCTCCCAGTGACTTCAAATTAGCCACCATGCCATCCCTTTGCTGCATCGCGGCAAGCTAACTTGATTCCTCCGCCGGAAAAGTTGGATTTCAGGAGACTGAGAACTCAAAGGCTGGGCCAACCTGGTGATACTCAATCACCGTACAGAATGCAAAGTCTGAGCTGGCCACCCCCATGGGGCTACCCCCAACGACTTGAACCAGAAGTTGCACGAGCCCTGGCGTGCGTTCCTGCCACCAACAGGAGCAATGGCAAGGTGTTTGACCCTTGGTCTTGGTCAAAGCAATTGCCCACATTCTCTTGTCATAGAATAGTATGATAGTTGCAAGATCACCCGGCGAAGAACAACATAGAAAAGCAAGACCCCACCAAAACATGCTCAACCGAACGGGGAGTCTAAAACCAAAGTGAGGCAGCACCTATAAATGTGTATTGTCACACATTTCATCCATAATCATATCATTTTATGAAGTATTCTGTACTACAATTTCATGTTCATCTCTTTCCTTCTCGCATTCTGTCCAAGATTCTTCGTCCCATTCGTGGTTTTGCGGGGGAAAACCAACAAATTTCCCCCCGGCGCGTGTGGCCTGCAGACAGACCAGCGCCAAAGCGCCGAAGAGCCCGGCGCCTTGCCGGGCGCCTGATCGCCCCGGGCCGGCGGTCTGCATGGACCAGTGGCTGGTGGAGGAATACCTCGCCGGGCTCATCGACTCACACAGCAGAAACCAAACCAGGGACCAGCTGTTACCCTAACACGCTTGAGATGCATATCAAGAGCTTACCAGTTTTCACCGAACCATATCAAAACCAAACACGAGTTGTTACTCTCCCGCCAATGAAACACACGGGAAACCTGACGCTTCGGGAATTGGTCCCTCAAGGCAAATGGTCCAAAGACCAGGACCCCGCGAACGTCAGGTCCCGTGTCGATTGGACATGGGTCAAAATCGAAATGGTACCCCCAGTGAACATCCCAATCCCCACTAAAATAGACTAAAATGGGTGGTGAATTCACCTACCAACCAAAATGGGATCCCAAAACGGCTTTGACAACCACAGCCAATTGGCGGGAGCGATTGCAACTGAGATACGTGGCGCCCCCACTCTTGGTGCAGTCCACGTCCAGCAGAACCTGGCAAGGCGAAAACCAAAAACAAAGGCACAACCAGAAGATGGCAAACAAATGACCTCAAAACCTGTATGCATATGTCTATAATATGTATATGTATATATGATTATACATGTTTTGTTACTATGACTACAGTATTATTACTATTACTGTTAATAGTATCCATGTACACATTATTATTGTTAGTATATATTGTATATTTAAAAAAATGATAGTGTTACTTATTATCGTGATTGCCGTTATGAGAAGTTGAATTATGTGTTATCATTATTACTTGTAGTGTAGTGTGGTTACTAATGTTACCCACAGCCCCCGTGGTTTGCCGGCACCCCCTAATCCACCCTTGTCCTGCCCGTGCCCAAGGTGACTGGCAAGTAGCAGAACTCGCGCAGCCATACCTGACACGTGGTGACCTGCGTTCTCTTCGGAACGTGGGGCCGTGGTACCACGAGGGTGGCAGGTCTGGGGTGTTTTAGGGTTTAGGTTTAGTGCTTTAGGGTTTAGGGTTTTTAGGGTTTAGGTTTAGGGTTAGGTTTAGGGTTTTAAGGTTGAGGTTTAGGGTTTTTAGGGGTTAGGTTTCTGGTTTTTAGGGTTGAGGTAAGGTTTTTTTGGGGTTTAGGTGTAGGGTTTTTAGGGTTTAGGTTTAGGGTTTTTGTGTCGGGGCGTTGGTTCGGGGCGCAGGCAAACCTCAGGGGCTGGCCGTAATGTTATGATGTGTCTATGTTATTATTATTGATATGTTTATTGATGGTTTTATTGTTATTCTGATTGTCATGATATGTATCATATACATATAATATAGTATATCTCCCTGGCTCCTTGGGCCTTGGAACAAAACTTACCAGTGCTCAGCAGGGAATGAGAAATGGAATGACCCCTGTAAACCATCCAACTGGTGGTTTCCTTTAAGGGGACCAAAGCCTGGGTTCATTCCCTCATTCCTTACCAATCGCACCAGCAAGTGTGGAAGAGGTTTTTGGGAAGCAAGAGGCGTCACGGCCCGAAATTGCACTCAAGCCCCTCAGCAAGAAAAAAACATCTTGGCAAATGGAACCAACAACTAAAATCTGCGTAACCCTACCTCTTTGATTTTGAGCCACACCCAACTCACCCCTCCCCTTTTCTTGGTTGACGTTGGAAGGGGAGCAAAAACATACATTGTAGCAGTTAAGCGGGGATTTCAAACACTAAACCACAACAAGCAAAAATGCTAAAATGTTTCCCAACACTTTTCAACCATCATTCTTTTCAAACACGGATCTGTTTCCCCTGGGTTTTCAAAGTGGTTTCCTGAAAAGAAGGATCCCTGCACCACCTAAGAAACCCAACGGAATGATTCGATTCCCTGTAAATACCAACAAACCACGGTTTCCCTTGGTTTCAAAGCGGTGCAAGATTTCGTCCACAGTACCTCTTTCATTTTGAGCCACACCCAAATCACCCCTCCTCTTTGCTTGGTTGACGTTGGAAGGGGAGCAAACATTTAAGATTTAGCAGCCAAGTGGTTGGATTTCCACCACTAAACCACAAAAAGCAAAAATGTCAAAATGTGTCCCAACAACAACCATGACATAGCTAAGATTCGCGGTTCAAAGTGCTGGCTAACGAAATCTTGTTTGTTTCTCAGCCCTGTATCTGTGCTTGCATTTTCCACGCTGCACATGGACGTGCACCATGGGTTCAGCACAAGGCCTTGACGCCTCTGCGTCCAGTCGAAACATGTCGCAAACCAGGAACCCCTAGCTGGGATTGGTGGTTTGGATTTGGATTTGAATGGGTCCCTGGTTCAAGGAAAAGGGTCAAAAGGGAAAACCGCCCTTCGTCTTTTCCGATTCGTCGTCTTTACGAAGGCGCCTCGGCGGGCCGCTGGCCGCTGGCAGCGGCGCCCAGAGACTCCACGGCCTTCTGCTGCAGCAGCTGGGCCAGGCGCCCCAGGTCCGGGTCCTCGCTGCCCCCAGGGAGTGCTGTGGTTTTTGAAGCAAGGGTCCTTGTGGGGAACACGATGTGAGTCATCACTGGGGGATTGTCATGTTTTGAAGGGGAAACCAAAGGGTCTACCCATGTGAAGGAGGTAAGTAGGTACCCACAGAGCCATGTGAAGGAGGTAAGTAGGGAACTATGTTTTTTAAGGGGAAACTAAAGGGTCTACCCAGAGCCATGTGAAGGAGATAAGTAGGTGACGGTCACCATGTTATCTTTGAGGGGAACCCCAGCTAGCCCAGTGAGAAAACCAATGGTCGTAAGCTACTAACTAAGTTGGACGGCTCCTCGTCTTTCTTGTCGGAGCGAGGGGCACCCGTCGTCCGTTTCGGAGTGGTGTCAACGAGGAGAACATAAGAAACGAATATGGGCGGCTCGGCGTTTTGTGAGTTGGCACCCTAGCTTTTTCCAGGTTTTAAAGGGAAACCAAAAGGAAAACCCTGGTTTATTCATAGGGTGTTTTCTGGCTTTTCGGCCCAAACCCAAAAAGTTTGAAATGGTCACCCAAAACCCAGGGCCAACAATCAAAGGGGCTTCTTGATGGGCCCCTGATTAATTGACCCCCTGTTTATGAATAGGGGGTGTCCCTGGTTTAGTGGGGATCAATCACTATTGGACCTAAGAGGACGGGTTCTACTTAGCTCGTCTGAATTTGAGAGTTGGTACCCGTCTTTGTGGTGGGTTTTACAGGGAAACCAAAAGGAAACCCGCTGCGCATGTCCCCTACCAAGAGAAGATGTGGATGAGAACTTGAGCGTTCAACCAGCAAGTGGGTAAAAAGGTTCTTTCAAGGGAACCCCAGTAAGCCCAGTGAGAAAACCATTGCAACCAACTTCCTAAGTTCGTTGAACACGGTGTGAGTCATAATCAAAACCTGGCACTGCACCAATTTGTGGTTGGGAGTATCCCTTACTAATCTTCATCTACCCGGGTTTTGATTGCGGCTCATGTGAATGAGAAGCCAATTGCTTGAGACGCCCCAGATTCTCCCCCGAATTTATTGGCGGGTGGCAGGTACCACAAAGATTTGTGGTTGGTTGTGGATGGTTGGTTGTGGTCTGGACGAAAACGGCTTCGCAGGTAAGGGGAACCCCTTCTTTCTAGAAAACTTCCGGAAACCAAGGAAAACAAAACTATCTCTGAAAAAAATGTGGAATTAACCCCTAGAGTATTGTGGGAACCCCGGATCAGGTCGAACCTTGGTTGATTTTGATCCCGGGGAGGCGGGGAGGTTCTGCTTGTGGGGGGTCGATCATTTTTTTTAGGAGAAGACGCAGCCCCCTATTCATAGGACGGATTGTCTGAATTTCCGGGGTCGACGCCTCTAGTAAGCAGCCATTTCTTTGAGAAGACGCCACCAGTTGTTTAACGGAGTTGCTGGGTGGTCTGTTTGGGTTTTCATTCACAAAAAACGGCTGCACATATGTTATCCAATCCATGATCCTCAAAGGGACAAACTGCTTTCAGGGGGCCAAATCCCTGCGTAACCTTTTGGCTACTGATTTTGTAAGGATTGCCTTGGAACAGCCCAGATCTTGGTGGATTGGGTAGTGGGTTGAGAGCTTGGGTAGATGTCGAAACAAGGAAATCTACTGATAGGTGGCGTGTCCGATTCGCAGAAGGTTTCATACATCTCAGCTGCAGGAATTCGCGCATCCACAGTAGCCAAATGTTTATTTTCTTGCATCGGGGGACTCAGGTGCTGGTGTCAAGATGGGAAGAACGGCGATTGTTGAGACAGTTTGCTTTAAGTTTTGGGGGCAGGTGCAAAGAAAGTTGCCAGTGTTCCCCTCCAAAAGGAGCCACGCAGTTGGGTGGGAGGATTCTGCGTTTGACAGCTTCAACGGCTCCCGATTCGGCCCAAAACCATCCCTGAGCCGCATCGTACTGAACTCCAAAACAGCCAACCTCAGGCACTTCTGTAGTTTGCTGGATGCATTTGGGTGTGTCTCTTTTGAGGATGCCCGTTTTTGCGGATTAAGATTGAACCCAAAAGAAAACCCGCCATTCATGTATTTTGCGGGTCCCCTAAAAAGACACCACCCATTTCTAGCATCCCCGCATACTCCAGAACTTCCTTGTGCTTAAGCCCCCTGAAAAGATAACAATATTTCCAGTAGCGAAATCGATTCCTTTTGAAACCAGTAAGGAAAAAAAAAAAAAAAAAAACATTTCAGCAAATGGATGAGAATCACCCCAGCACCCCGGGCACCGCCACTTCCGCGCACTTCCGAGCGCGCGATTTCCTGGATGCACTTGCGCGGCAGGCAGCTTTCGCCCCCCACGTCCGAGCTGGACACCAGCACCCGCCCATCCGGGGCCTAAATTGCGACGACGGGAGAACCCCCCCCAATTGGGAGGAAACATTTAATTTTTAGCAGTTAAGTGGGGATTTCAACCAAACCACAATAAGCAAAAATGGTCAAAATGCCTTCCCAACAACAACCGCCCCGCCCCCCCCCCCGCGCGGGGTGGACAGTCGGAGTATATGTTGCAGCCAAGAAACCAAAAACAAACAATACCCTAAATGAATGAGGTTGCAAAATGTAAGTGTTCATTAGTCCCCCCCCACCCCCCGGTGGTTGGGACATTTGAGCGGGTCCCGGACTCTTTGATAGGCATCATTTCGGTGTCCAACAAGCTTTATGGGTCCATCGATGGTGGGGATTCAGGAAACCATCAACCCTTTCTAAGCGGGGTGGTTTTCGTGTGGAAATTCAGAGCCATTTCGGCGTTGGATCTGGCCTTCCAGAGTTTCAGGCACTGGGTCAGTTGAGCGCTCAGTTGGCGACATAAGTCTTGGCCCGAGCCAAGCGAAACCGGCCCAGCGATAGAGGGCGAACCAGGCCGAGGCTTGTTGATCTGAGCTTCCTCGGTTACCTATCCCCCGCGAAAAGTGACTCACTTTTGGTGGGTTAAATGGAAATCCAACCACTACACACTAAAAGGCTCGAAAAAGCTAAGGAACCGGATGGCTGGGCTTACCACCAAGTAGAGTGGTAGCTATGCTTGCATCGGGTCTCCTTGCTCCATGTTTGCCATCATTGGTCTTTGGGGAACAGCTTGGCCGCAACACGGAGGGCAAAAGGGCCCGGCGACAGCGTTACGTGAAGGGAGCAACTCATCAAATTCCCCTGTAGCTCAACTCCAACCCAACTTTCCAAATCCAAAACTGGGCTGTCCTCAGATCCCCTGCTAAGAGTTTCACTTTAGTTAGCAAATGGTTGGGGCACCAACAAAAAAGCGGCCCCGAATTCCCAACACCTCCTCAAAAACCTCCCCAAAAACCTCAAAACTCCTCAAAAACCTCAAGAAAAAGAAACCTCCCCAAAAGCCTCAAAAAAACAACTCATAAAAAGAGCCCCTCCCAAAACCTCCAACAGACCTCCCCAGCCATCTCCCAACTTCCATCCACCTCCTCCGACCCCCAGCCGCCCCCGTCCGCCTTGGAGCGCTGCTTCACCCGCGCGTGGTTGGCGCAGAGCGCGCCCCCCAGGCGCCCGCAGGTGGCGAGGCTGGCGTTGAAGTCCTGGGCGATGCGACATTCGCAGGCTTTGCCTTGGCCTCCCTTTCAAGGGGAGCCCCGTTTGGTGGGCTGGTTTCTGGTGGTTCCCTGAGAAAGGGTGGTGGTTCCCTCAAAAAGGGTGTCTCGTTTTTAGAGTGTTTTTTTTGGTGGTGGTTCCCTCAAAAAGGGTGGGTATTTGTTGTTTTTTGGGTGGTGGTTCCCTCAAAAAGGGTGGGTATTTGTTGTGTTTTTTGGTGGTGGTTCCCTCAAAAAGGGTGGGTGTTTTGGTGGTTTGGTGGTTTGGTGGTTTGATGGTGTGGTTAAGGAGCTCTACGAAAGTGGTTTGGTGGTTAAGGAGTGGCTTCTCAGTTTGGTGGTTTTGTGGAGGAATCAAAGCGAACCAAAACTTGCTGATGCTCAGGGAATGAGTTGGAATGACGCAGAAGAAGAAAAACAAAAAAGCAATCCCCGTTCAGTTCATTCCCAACACCCGCAAGGTTATTTCCTACTGAGCACCAGGAAGCAAAGGGAACCTAATGGAACTGCAAGTCAGGTTCCTCCAATAGGTGGCTTAGATTGCTGGTTTGGTGGCTAAGGAGTGGTTTCCCATTCATGACGGCAGTTTGCTCCAAGTAGCTGCAAGATGTTGACATGGTTCTTGCGGAGGAGAGTCAGTCAGAATCTTTTTCCACTTCCAGCACCCCCAGACAATTTGTCCCTCTTCTTTCAAGGTTCACATTTTTGTCTGAATTACGAAATCGGGCATCTGCCAAGTCAAGGCCTGTGCAAGGGCTGTGACGCCGCTTGGCCAGTTATCCTCCACAACTCAACTCTGAACAAGGTGGGCCGGCCGAGCTGGTGGGCGACGACCAGCGCGAAACGCAAGACGGTCAGATCCGGCAAGAAGCCAGCTACGCGCTGCTTCTGAAGGCAAAAAGGCAAGAAGCATTAGAGCGCTTTTCCAGCGCACCGACGCCGGAAAAGACGCTCCACGCATGCTTTTTGCGACGCCGACGCTCCGAGACCGCGAGACCATGACTCGTGACATATCACAGCGGCAGCTCTCTTGGCTGCGACCGGATAGAGGCTTTGCCTCACGCCTTAAGCCTCTTGGAATGGCAGTGGACAGCAGAGCCACTGTTGCGAATAACAAAAAGCCTCCCGTTGGCTTGGGGTTTGGGCGTCACGGGGGCGGAAGAAGGAAGGGTTCTGGAGGCGCTTTTTGTTAGCTTTAAAAGTTTGGAGGCTTTATTGGTGGAGTTTGGAGGCGGTGGACCACGTGCATCGCAGGCCAGATGCAAAGTGCCATACTGCTGTACCATGGTCCCCTTTTCAAATGGGGCAAATCAACTGCGCTCTTTGGTCCAAAATTGGGACCCTTTCTTTTTGAACAAGCCTCCTTCACCAGTGCCGTGTTTTTTAAAGGAAAAGGAAGATCTCACTACCGTACAGTGCAATTTTGGGTTTGTTTGTTTTTTTTCCTCCAGGGGACTTCTTCTTGGTTGACGTTGGAAGGGGAGCAAAATTAGAATTTCAACAGTCAAGTGCTTGGATTTCAACCACCAAACCACAATAAGATCAAACAGGTCAAAACAATTGTTTCCCAACAACCATGCCATGTCTTAAGCAACCCCCTCCCCCCCCCCCACCCCCACCCGAAGCCCCCGCCCGAAGCCCCCGCCCCCCCCGCCCCCCGGCTCCTGCGAGGTGCCGAAGCGGTGGAGGTCCCGTGCCTTTCCCTGGCCCTGGCGAGGAGTCGAGTTGGGCCCATTGCGAGAGGCGAGGCGTGCCCCTGGGGGGCAAGTCAAACAAGGACCCCCCCCCCCCACAAACAAAAACATATACATATACATATATAGAAATATATATATATATATATGTACATACCCAAAAACAAATACATATATCTTATATATATATATGTATATATGTATGTATATATATATATACGTGGTTTCTCACGGAAGCCAACCCCAAAAAGGAGATATCCCGAAGACAAGGGAACCACAACCACTCGCTCGTCTGAGAAGAGTGCTGGCACTACGTTCGCTTTTCCTCGAAAATCATGATGCCAACCAACCCTAAGGTGTCCCAACACAAACTAAGAGACTCGCCCCCTCTCACGAAACTCGGTTGCTTTCTGCTCCCCTGCTAAAAGTGAATAGCTTTGAGTGGTTTAATGGAACACCCATTACTTGGCAACAAGTTAAAGGCCTAACATAGCCTAACATCCAAGCAAAATGCACCAAAGGAAACCAGGAGCCACCATGAAACTCGAAACCTGCAGCTCTTGCGGAGCCTGGCCCCCCGGGCCCAAAAAAACACTTTGCGGAGTGAGACCATCGCCGTAGCATGGCTGGCCAAACCTCTTTTCTTTATCGGATCCGACCTAGTGGATTGGCCAACCAACAGCCCAAACAAATGGCCATGGGCCATGGGTCAGAATCCCAAGCCCGTACCCCCCAGTGAACATCCGATTCAATCCAACCGCAAAATTGGCTCTAAAATGGGTGGTGAATTCACCTACCAACCAACATGGGATCCCAAAACGGTTTTGACAACCACAGCCAAATGTCGTTGCCCCACTAAAGCGGTCAAACCCCAACAAGTATCTAGTCCAGGAACCCTGGGAGTAAGCTACTGACACTGGGACCCAAACCTCCCAGCCCGAGGGAAACTTTTGTCCCGTGCCCTTTCAGGCAAACGAGTCCGTAACTTTGTCCCCTACCCTCATTTGGCTTGGACATGTTTTTCCTGGCCTCCAGTTGCTTGAGCGCCCTGGAAAAAAAAGGATATGTCCAAAAATGATAGATTCCCCTTAAAACCAACAGGGAAATAAGCATGACAAACATTTCAGCAAATGGAAGCTGGATTCTGTTGGGTTTCCCGTGGACTCCCTGCCTGCAGCATGTGCTGGAACTGCTCTTGGCAGGAGGCGCTCAGCTGGTCCAAGAACTTCTTCAGCTCTCCCTGGCGCGCTTGCGCCAGCGCCAAGTTGAGTCATAAGTCTAGGGGTACCCATGACGGGAGAACTGTAGGCATCTGATAACTCAGTCATTCCTGTGTGAGTATAGGTTCCCGGATGACTACACGGGATGACACGGGCACGATTCATTCATGATGTTTGTTCCAGTCACTGCTTGTGTGTTTCCCCGATGAGGATGCGCAAGGGACCCTTTTTCCAGGGGGTAACTTCCATTTCCATTCTTTCCAGGGACCCGTCTTTCTAGAAAACCTCCGGAAACCCAGGGAAAACGGCCGGTTTTTGGAAAGAACGATGGTTGAAAAGAATGGGGAATCAACCCCTAGAATATTCAAACCCCATCTGTACCAACATGAGGAGCCCAAGCTTAGTTGACGTTGGAAGGGGAGTACAAATTTACATTCTAGCAGTTAAGTGGGGGATTTCAACCACTAAACCACAAAAAGGCAAAAATGTAAAATGCTTCCCAGCAACAACCATCCACGACCATGGTAAAGAGTTACCACGGCGGCGAAGGCACGCATGTCTGGCTTGGCTGAGCCTTACTAACCTTGAGCTAGCCGGGTCATGATTGCGGCTCAGTTGAGCATCCCTGCCAGAAAACCTGGCCCAATCCCACCTCAAACTTTGGATTAGCTCAGATCCCATTGAGAACCAAACATCCACGGAATCAGATTGGGCAGCTGGACGTGGTCCATCCCGCCCTTGCAGTTGATCCACAAATTCGAGCCGAAAAAAAGAGCTCAACCTGCCACAAATTACAGCGGGGCACAACAAAAACACAAACATCCAAAGCCCATGCCTGCTGAGGCCCTTCGCTGGAGATTGCTTTAGTGTGCAGCACACCCGCTGTGCATCGTCTGGAAGGTCAGTATGGTATACAATATGGATGTGTCTTTTGAGGGTAGCCCCTTTCTGGTTTGTTTGCGGGGAAACCAAAGCAAAACACAGTTCTTTTGAGGGTGGGGGGTGATTCCAACCCATACTGTGGGTGGACGAAATCTTGCACCGCTTTGAAACCAAGGTTGAAACCATGGTGTGTTGGTATTTACAGGGAATCATCATTCCAGGATTTCTTGGGTGGTGCAGGATCTCGTCCATCCTGCAGTATCTTGGGAAACTCAATCAACACAAAGCGACAGTCCACCACCCAAAAAGGACTGAAAGGAGCCCGAGATGCGAACCTGACAACGAGGGGATCCCAAAAGTAGGTGTCTTTTGGACAAATAGATTGCACTGTAAATTGTTAGCACCAAACTAAATCAAAACCTTGTACTAAAGTGGTCGGCCAAAACCCATGGCACACAATCAGACGTGCTTCTTGCTTCTGATTCTTGTGATTGGGGCTTTTTCTTAACGGGATCCCTGGATTAACAAACCGATGTTTACTGATAAGGGGTGGATGGAGGGAACCCCCCCCACCCTGTTAAAGGACGGGTTCTACTTAGATCCGGGGTCAACATTGGTGACAAAAAACAAACACATCTGGGCGTGGTTCCTTTCTTAGCCCTTTCTCTCATGGTTTGAAAGGGCAACCAAAAGGAAAAACCTGGCCTTAAAGAGAAACCAAACCGAAAAGAAAAAAAAAAAAGAAAAAAGCGTGGCCTCCCATTTTGAGTGGGTCCCCAGAACCCTTCCCTTCACGGATTTTGCTTCCCCCCCCTTCTTCCCCTCCTGCGAGATCTTGGACGCGACCGGCATCTGCTTGTCGCTCTCGGCGCCCTCGGCCCTGGTTTAGCACCAGGCTTCCCTTTGCTTTTTCGCCCCTGGAAAAAATGAGAAAATATGTCCAGTAGTGAACTCGACTCCCTGCAAAACCAGCAAGGAAAAATCAAAAAAATGTTCATTTCAGCAGATGGATGGGGGGACAAATGGGAGAGATCTAGGGGTTGATTCTTGGGGTCCTCCCATGCTGGACAACCATCTTTCTTGGGGTCCAAATGCCAATGTTGACACATACCCAACTTTGTCGGGGGCGCTCCGAGGCTCACCCTTTTGCTAGGGGTTGATTCCTTTTCCATTATTTTCAACCCATCGTGCTTTTCAAAAAACGGATCTGTTTCCTCTGAGTTTAAAAAATGGTGTCCTGACAAGATTCGGAGACAGAATGGGGAAGGTACACCTAGAATATATGCAACCACTGGCCACTACACAAAGGGCTTTTGGTGCTTCCGCGTTTCCCCTAGTTGTGGTTTGGGGCAAGTAACCAGTGACAAGTTCTCCCGGTCACTGTGACTCGAGTGCTCAAAAGCATCATATGGTGACAAACAGCCCGTCGCATGTGCCATCTGAGCAACCCCTTTCTTGCAGCCACACGGAGGCAAAGAATTGGACCCCCTGTCAATCGCCTGGTTTTGACTCGTACCCCTTCCCAGCTTGTCTTTTTTTGAAGGACCTCCGGCAGTTCTAGGCCGAGATCATGTTTACTCGCCACATGATCCTCATCTTGGCTTGCAGCTCCCCGATCCGGGACATGGGGGTCCAGGCAAAAATCGCACCTGACTCGACCTGGTTTCTGCCGGGAAGTCGCCGACTGGTGGGCAAGCAACTCTCTCCGAAGGGAGAGAGGCCCAAGTCCCGCACTGAGCCATTCAAATGTGTCGGAACCTTTGACGGTTCGCGTTGGCCAAACGGCATACCTGGCAGATAGATACGGTTCAAAGAGACTGGGTGTTTGCTTGAGGCCCGGTACCCTTTTGGGCGGATAAGGCAAAGGGAGGCAGACCCAGCCCACTTCCTCCCTTCCATGCTGAGCCGCAAGAAGCTGCCGAAAAGCGCAGCTTCCGTACTGAAGAGAGCGCCTCATGCTGCCAAAAGCGGGGCGCTTGACAGGCTCAGCGTCCAAGAGCTCCCAGCTTACGATGGAACCCCAGGAAGGAGGATCCTGATTTGGGGTTGGGGTATTCTCCAAAGGGTCCGACAGCGCCAGGTTCACCACCCTCCGCTCCTGCCACCTCATGATCAAGCTGACAACTCAATCGTGGCCATAGGGAACCTTTTGGAGCAAAAAAATGGGTTTCCCTGGTAGATGGGTAAGAAAGCCAATCTAAACCAGTGGAACCCATTCATGTCCAACCAAACTAACCGATCAAAAGATCGTCCATGATCATAGCCTGGCCCACGAGCCTATAAAGGACACCTACGGAGGATGGACGAAATCCTGCGCCACCTTCAGAAACCCTGGTTTACGATGATTCCCCTGTAAATACCAACGAGCGTTATGTTCATTTCGTGGTGCGAAATGGATTTCGTCCATCCACAGTATGATCATGGCTTTGCCCCTTGCATGTCGGCGCTTGCGCTTGCGTAGTTTGTGCGGGAGCACCGGGAAGCTTGCTCCCCCGAAACTCGAGGCATGCGTGGCTCGTTTCTTTTGTGGCCGGGAAAGCACAACCACAAAATAGAAACACATTTTGTGTGGAAAGACACACCCACATACAGTCGTCGAAACAGCAGCGACGTAGCATGTTGTGTTTGCCCCGTAGGGTGCCTGTCCAGCTGTAGGGAGAGCCAACCCTGAGTGGTTCCCTAGCATGTGCTTCCCTGACCAAGCTTGATACATGCCATTATGGTGAAACATCCACCCGCTCTTTTCGAGCCCAGAGTTCAATTTGTGAGCAAAGGCTAATTTACATAAACAACCTTGAAGGAATCACGCATGGCACCCCTTTTATCAACTTGTATCCCAATTTACTGGGAAATCTCGAAAGTTTTTCTGGCGATCGGTATGGCTACGTGGGCGTCTTTATTGAGGATGCTCCTGTTGGCGGTGTTTCAAGGAAACCCAAATGGAACCCACCCATTGCTCAGCCAGTGTCCCGGTCTTTATCTGGGGATTCCAAACCCGTTTCTTTCAGGCTTCCCTGCCGGGATTCCCTTGAAGGGGGCTTGCTTTTAAGGAAGCATGCATCTGTGTGGCATATCTAGTTGATCCATTGTTGTCAACCATCCTTCTTTCCCACAAGCTAGCTGTTTTCCCTGGCTGCGTGGTGGCTTTCGGAGAAGGATCGACCAACACCTGGGCAAGCAAGTTTGTGTCGGATCTCGGATCTTGCTTTAGAATCTAATGTCAACCACGGGTTGACCAACCCCAGTTTATATTAAATTCGTGGGGGCGTGTTTTTTAGTTTAGTGGGGGCGAATCTGGATCTTGTTTGGAATCCAAGGTTAACCAAAAAAGGCCAACCCCTTGCTGCTGCTCAGTCCGGAACGACCTTCCGAGTTCGGGAATGAACCGAAAGGGGATTCCCCTAGAGGAAACCACCAGTTGGATGGCTTATGGGCTTCACGCCATTTCTCATTCCCCTGCTGCGAACCGGCGAAAAATTCCTGGGGTGTCCCTTGGGCACCCAGACACAAAACACCCCGCGCCCGACCCGCGCGCCGAGCCGCTGAGCGCGCTCGAGGCGTTCGAGGCGTTGGCCTCGAGTTCCGCAGCTCGCGGCCGCCGGCGGAGCCGCGAGGTGAACTCCTGCGACCATTGGCACGTGGGCGGGGGCTAGTTGGTTCGGCCGGAGGGGGGGGGGTTTTCTGAATGTTTGTGTTTGTCTTCTTCTTCTGTTTTTTGGGGGGGCACAGAGTCCAAGTACATAAGGTGAGTTGGGTGATTTCCAGGTTTGGCTTGGGTAGGTCCAAGATCCACATGTTTTAGGTCAAGGTTACCAATGGAGGAAACTTCGATGGTAAGGTCTGTAAAACGGCACCGAGTTGGCCACCTTCAACATCTTTGAACGATCGTCGCAAAGTCTTGTTAGCTGGTGTTTCTTCAAAAACATGACCAGTGCCTGGAAACACTCAAGTAGAGGCCCTCCCGAAAAGTGGAGGCACCTTTCCTTCGTCACTCAAACAAAGTGACCGGCGCTATGATTCGCTGGGTGAACCCGATTTTTCCTGATTGCAGCTTGGGTGGCTCCCGTGCCCATGTCCATTTCCGATGACAGGATTGGTAAAATAAAAAATAATAGAAAGATACACGAGAAAAAAACAATAATAATGATAAAATAAGTAAAAATAACATGAGAGAAACATAACATGTCTCAAACCCGTCCTAGTGCGGGGTATGTTCCCTCAAGCAATCAAACTCAACCAGGGCTTTGTTAATCCGGGGTTCCCCGACCCCTCCCAAAAAAGGGACACAGGCCACATGGCTGGCTTTCCTGGACGGTTTTCCTTTAAAACCACCAAACCGGGGTTTGGATCCCGAATCTCAAAAACGAACACACCAAGTGGCGGTGGCTTAAACACATGTACCAAAATGGCACCTCCGTACATTAATAAGGAACCACCTCGAAAGAGGTTGGTGGACATAAACCCCCGGTCTAAGGGTTTTTGTATCACGCCCTGGGATTACGCCCACTTGGAAATGACCCCATTCGGGCATATGTCCAGGATAAAGTCATGTTCTTTTGGGCCATTTTGGGCCATTTCTGAAGGGTGAAATCCGAGGGTGTAATACAACAACTCTTAGACCGGGGGGTTATGTCCACCAACCACTTTGGAGATGCTTCCTTATCAAAAAAGTAATGACCATCTGTGCGGCTCAAAATGAAACAGCTAAGGCAAACCGCAGGGTTTAGTCTTTGTTACAACCGCACACATGGCCATGATGTTCCATAACGAACCACCTCCAAGGTGGTTGGTGGGAAAGCGAAGAAGCGAAAGCGCCCATAGGTGGCCTTTTGAAAAAATAGATGGGTTCCCCTGCTAAATGGAACAAAACTCATCTAAACCAGTGGAACCCATCGATTTTTAACCAGGCTCACCTAAACAGGGATCCTTACATTATACACCTGAACATTGCCTTGTAAATGGTGGTTTGCCTTTATTTGGGTGGAAAAAGCCAAGTTTCAAATGGGCAAAATGTATCTTTTAAGGAGCCCTGCTAAAAAGGACACCTATGCGAAAGCGCCAAGTTCCTCGTGGTGCTCGTGGAGCTTCGCGCGGTGCTCCTCCACCACCTCCGCGTCCATGGCCTCCCTAGCGACGCGTTCGTCCGAACGACGAACGAAACCGAAAACAGTGGCGCCAAAACGGGTGGCTGCCTTCCATTTGGTGAAGGCCCCAGGAAAAAAAACTCTGTGTCCAGTAGTGAAATCAATTCCTATTAAAAACCAACAAGGGAAAAACAAATATTCTTAAGCAAATGGAGGCTTCCCTTTCCCTTTTCAAGGCAACCCCAAAAACGGGTCACTCAAGGACCCCCCCAAAAAAAGAAAAGTTGGCTTCCTGTTAGCCCCCCTTTACACCAACCAAAAGGGGATTGCCCCAAGACAAGCCACACCCAAATAGGGTTCTCTACGCAAAAAAGGAGGGAGGCTCTGGATGCTTAAAAAAACGAAGGCCTGGTGGTATCCCCAAGCTTTCTGGAAAGCCTGCCAGCCATCCTCTTTTGTTTTTCTTTGGGGGAAATGGCACACACATGGGCTGCGTAGCACCCAGTAAGAAAACCTGACACAAAGGGGACACCCAAACTTGGCTGGGTGCCTCAAAATAGTGGATCCCCAAACTGGGTGGTGTCCGTTTGTTTGGTGCCCTCAAAAAGTGTTTTTAAAGAAAAAAAAACTTGGAAACAACCCTAAGCAACACAGATTCCCTACCATTGTTATTCAGGGCGAGGTTCAAGGAAACAACCCAACTTGTGTCAAAAGTAAACGGAAGGCATGAGACACCTACCTGAAACAAAGGGATGCATAGTTGCTTCTGGCTTTCTTGGCCTGTCCACCAGCCGTGCAGAACCAGGTGCTCTGGTTGCGAGTAACGTCGCACCCGAACAGCGCTGGCAACCTTCACAAGTCCACCCTTCACCCGACCGGCACAGGTACCTGTACCACTTCGATGAATGCGGGTATGTGTCCAAAACAAGTTGGGGCACCTCTAAAATGCAACTCCCTGTGGCTCCCCTTGTGATTTGTTGGCCATGAATCCCCACCCAAATGGTGTCCACCAAACGGTCCCCAAGTACAAAACGCATGCCGCCTATTTAGGTGGGGATCTATGTCCACCAGGCACTTTGCATCTGGCTCCCAAAGTAGAAAAGCTGATGGCATCAGCGCCTGCTCTCCAAAGCTGGCTCGGCCAAATGCCTGGCGCGAGGTCCGCCTAGGTTGTTCCTCTGGCTGATTTTCCCTTGACTCCCTCCTTAGAAGCTAAAGCTTTAGATGAAAATTCCTTCTAAAGCTTCTTATAAGGCTCCTTTTCAAGAGAAGGGCTCCGGTGACGGTGTGAGCTCACGGTTCTCCGCACAAAGCATTACGTGATCCATGACAAGGAAGTCCTGTCGTAAGGGGTTTTGGGTCGTGTAGAAAAAATAACTTGGACCAAAACGTGGCAGGGATCAGTGCAACACTCAGGCCCGAAAACCCAGACCTGCTGGAGAATGCTTGGAACATCCCAATGCCCAGCTGAGGATTCTCGCTTGGCAACTTTGAATCCCAAGAAGCTTCCAGAAAAACGAAGGGCGTAGCTTCTTTCACCGGTTCCCTTTGGTCTTCATGGGTCCAAAAAGGGAGGTTAGGGATGAAAGAACCAGCAGCGCCTGTGTGAGTGGTGCACATGCCCAGTTGCCAGCGGCACCAATACCGCAAAGCACCTCAGAAAGTCAAGCGCAACATGCAGTGCAACCGCCGACGGCAGTCTAAGTCTAAGCTTTGCTTGGACTATATGCCAGGATGTCGGTCAACTTATGGTCGGGCATCAAGACATGCAGGATGGGCTATGCGACGGGGACAAGCACTTCTCCCGAGGCTAAGCCCTGCGCGCGGTAAACTTCATTGAGCGGCGGCTCGGCGGGAGCAGTCAAACAATGCCAAGTTGGATGCGAAAATGCAACTATGCTGACATACATCTCACATGTCACTGGTTTGACTTGCTCCCACGTATTGCTGCGGGTGTTTGAGCCAATGCCATGGTGCGGGATGGGATTGCTGCTGGCTTCGACACCACTGAACACTTTTGCCTCTAGCATCATTCACGACCAATCAAGATCCAAAGGAGCTCGGGCACTCACGCTTCACAAAGCAACAATGGCAGATCAGTCCAACACTCAGCCCGGGGCCGGCCGAAAAAACAAGAGCCCTCAACAGTCGCTGACGGCCCAGAAGAGCCGCCAGTCGCCCACGGCTAGTATTGGGGCTAGCCCCGCTCAGCATGGCTCCATGCCGAGCAAAAAGACTAGCCCGCCTTCAGGGGGGGGCGGGGGAGTTTGGGGAGTACCCGTTTCAGCTCGGCTTGAAGGGATGCACGAAACAAACATGTTTGGCGGGCCCCCCTTTTTGCCACAAAACCGTTTCACAAAGCGGACGTAGCTTCCTTGCGTGCCCCATCTCAACGGTTTTTGAACCCCTTGCTAAAGTCAAACTCTGGCTTCAAGCACGTTTTGTTGGGGAGGGGAGAATTGGCCGCATTCATTTCGGTTCACCAGCAATCGTCCGAACTCCACTGGCTCAAGCACGTCCTAAATCCAGCTGCGGCTCCTTTTGTTTGAGGCTCGGTTCCCTTGGGTTGGTTTGTTCGGGAAGCCCAAAGGCAAGCGCTTCCATGTTGGGAGCCACATGCCCGTGGTGAGACAGACCCCTAACAAATATAAGGTTCCACTGCCCATTTTGGCGACAAGCCCTTGAACAAAAATATACAGATCGAAATCCCTATTTTGAGACAAGCCCGTAACAAATAGCAAATTCCACATCCCTATTTAGAGACATGCCCTGACTGTTTTTACAGTTCTAATCCACACTTTTAGACAACCCCTTAAACATCAAGTTCCAAATCCCTATTTTGAGCCAATCCCTGAAAAACCACAAAGGTTCCAAATCCCTAGTTGAGACAAACCCTTAAGAAAATATCGGGGAAAAAAAGGGAGGAAAATCCCTAGTTTGAGACAAACCCTTAAGAAAATATCGGGGGGGAGAAAAAAAAGGAAAAACATCCCTAGTTTGAGACACCCCCGAAAAAGGGGGGGGGAAAAACGTCCCAAATCTCTATTTTGAGACGGAAAAAAACCTCCGGTCCGACCAAACAAAAGCCGGGGGGAAAATCTTCCCCGCCGGCCGCGCGCCCGTGAGCCCGTGAGCCCTGGGGCGCCCCGGCGACCGCCGTCAAGGCTTGCTCCGAGACGGGGCCGATGATCGGCAGATCCTCGCCCCAGAGCCGGAAACGGCGGGCGAGCGGGGCGAGATGCCTCCATTTGCCTAAGTCCCCCTGTTTCCAGTAGTGATAAATTCCCTTTAAGGGGAAAATGAAAAAAAGAGTCTTAAGCAAATGGAAGGAGGGGAGGAACTGTCTGGAGAGGCACATCCAACTTGGTTCGATTGGGAATGAGCCATGGAATGATGCACCAGGAACTGTCGAGGGAGAGAAAGAGGCACATCCAACTTGCTTCGATTGGGAATGAGACATGAGCCCGAGAAAAAGTCTGTGCACCAGGAACTGTCGAGGGAGAGAAAGAGGCACATCCAACTTGCTTCGATTGGGAATGAGACATGAGCCCGAGAAAAAGTCTGTGCACCAGGAACTGTCGAGGGAGAGAAAGAGGCACATCCAACTTGCTTCGATTGGGAATGAGACATGAGCCCGAGAAAAAATCTGTGCACCAGGAACTGTCGAGGGAGAGAAAGAGGCACATCCAACTTGCTTCGATTGGGAATGAGACATGAGCCCGAGAAAAAGTCTGTGCACCAGGAACTGTCGAGGGAGAGAAAGAGGCACATCCAACTTGCTTCGATTGGGAATGAGACATGAGCCCGAGAAAAAGTCTGTGCACCAGGAACTGTCGAGGGAGAGAAAGAGGCACATCCAACTTGCTTCGATTGGGAATGAGACATGAGCCCGAGAAAAAGTCTGTGCACCAGGAACTGTCGAGGGAGAGAAAGAGGCACATCCAACTTGCTTCGATTGGGAATGAGACATGAGCCCGAGAAAAAGTCTGTGCACCAGGAACTGTCGAGGGAGAGAAAGAGGCACATCCAACTTCCTGCTTTGATTGGCCCAAAAAATGAGGCATGGAAGGATGCACCAGAAAAAGCCGCATGGCCTCGCGAAAGGGAAACGGGAAGAAAAAAAACGGCTCGTTCCCAAGACCAAGAGGAGATCAGTTCTGAGCACCGGCAAGAAAAGGGCCAAGACAAATGGAGGCACAAAACCCCAAGGCCGTTTTAAGGATCTCGACACTTTTGGGCTGTCAAGGGAAACCATCAAGATCAATTTTGGGGGATAAAATAAAGGGATCTTTTACGGGGGGGTTGGAAAACCTGTCTTCCCAACAAGCGGGGCAAGCACTTGACATTGCTTTCAACCATGCCTGCCATGGTACCCCATCCGAGACCATCTCCCCGCACCTTGCAAGTCCAAAACCTGCAGAAAAAAAAAATCGGGAGCGAGCGAGCCCGCCTGTACATCCTTCGCAGAAGGCAGCAGCAGCCGCAAGGCTTGCTCGCGCCTTGGGCCCCCAAAGAGCGGAAGAAGTCCCGTGTCCGAAACTTGGTTGACGTTGGAAGGGGAGCAAGCGTTTAAAGATTTTAGCACTTATAAGTGGGGATTTCAACCACTAAACCACAATCATCAAACATGTAAAATGTTTCCCAACAACAACCATGAAAAGGGGGAAGCCAGCACATGGGAGACCGGATACTGCCGGGAGTTGTGCCATCAACAGTATTTACTCACCGGCTTGTGACCCCAAAGGTTGTTTACGCAGGCATGCGAGTGTGTTGTTGCATCACTTTGTTTGCTCCATGCAATGCACGTATGGAGGTAAGTACTGATATCATTTCCATGCATGGGTGACATATGGGCGTGCTATGTTTTGAGAGTACCCCTTCTTTATGAGAAGAAAAAAAGAAGAAAAACAACAAGGCGATGTCCCTTCATCTTTATTTTTGAGCGCCCAAAAGGTCGCAAGCAAATGCAAGCTGAGCACGCAGCCAATCACCGGCCAGCGGCAGGTTGGCGATGTTCACCTCAAAATTTGGCAGAGAGGGGCGCTGGGGAGAAAATGCAATCCTGCAGAGACCCAACACAAAGCCTTGCCTTTGTGAAAACAATTCCTTTGGTCCAAGCAGGTAACGCTGCGTGTTTGCAATGTGTGTGCTCTCGATCAAACGGGCTCCAATATGAGTGTAGACTGCGCCCAAGACTTGATCATGTCCAATCCTTTGGTTTTGGCGAGAAAATGGTGGGGGACTAAGCCGAAAACGGCTCATCGTGTTTCTTCATGTGAAGAGGAACTAAGCCGAAAACGGCTCATGGTTCTTCTTCACACGAAGAGGAACTAAGCCGAAAACGGCTCATGCTGTTTCTTCACGTGAAGAAGAACTAAGCCGAAAACGGCTTGTTTTTCTTCATGTGCGGGGGACTAAGCTTGGTTGACGTTGGAAGGGGAGCAACATCTTGAATTTTAGCACTTATAGGTGGTTGGACTTCAACCACTAAACCACAATCAAGGTAACAAATCTTTCCCAACTTCCAACCATATAAGCAGAGCCTTGCGCCTAGCCTCAGCCCCTCCCTCAACCGCCCCCCCTCAACCGCCGCTGGTTGGGCCCGGGGCCCCGGCCCAATCCTCCGGCTCGAAGGGCCACCGCCCGAAGATGCGAATCACCAGGCCCCCGCCAAAGCGGCGAAGCGAGGTCTGGAAGGGGCCGAGCCGCACCGGTAAAAATACCAACATGCTATGTGTGTATATGGATAGATATAGATATAGAGATATACATATGTACACATATACACATGTGTCTATGTATACATATATGTGTGTGCACATGCTACCCCCAAAAAAACAAAAAAGAGAGACAGAGAGAGAAAGAACAAAAGAACAACTACTGAGTTGTTCAGCGCTGAGGTTCAAGATTCCCCAAACATATTTCGGATTCAAGATTCCCCAGGCATCTTTTTCCAGCATCTTGAATCTTGAATCTTACCCACAGTAAGCGATTGGCAGCCCCAGCTCAGAAAAACAACTTTCAGTATAAGAGTAATACGCAAAGTGCACTTTGGCAGCTTCAACGTGCCTGGAACAGCTCTGTGATCGTGCTTTTACTCTCATAGAGGCAAACCTTCAATTCTGGTGAAGCCATTCCCTTCTAAATTGCCATTTGGAATTGAAATCCAAATCAAGTTTCAAGATGCTCCACGTCCTTGCACAGATGCATTTGCATTCTATCTCAACTCTGATAAAAACACATGTGGTAAGCAAAATCTATGGCAGTTATGTTCTGCTTATCCAATTTTACTTTCTAGAATCCAGTCAATAACATTTACTGTATCTGAAAAAAGAAGCCCTAAGTAGAATGATGTTTCAAGTTCAAACCAAATTCAGCTTTAAGCAACTGCATGTCCTTAGCATTCAAAGAACAACTATTCAAAATGCAAGCTGAAACCAAGATCAACTTCAATTTCAAATGGTTAATTGCCCTTCTCCAAGCCCATGTAGTTTTAACTAAGCACGAACTGAGCCACGCCAATCACATAAAAGTGGTTCAATCAACATGGATCTGCTCCTTGGCAAACATGCAGTAAAACAAGTGATTTTCCGCATGTGTCAGATCATCGTTCGGAAAGCCAAGCTGCGCAGTGCATGTCTTGTTTCCCCTCACAAATGAGGGTCAAGCTGGGCACCTACTGGATCAAACATGAAGGGCCATGAAGGGCCTGTGAAAAAAGCACTGGTTCTGGAAACACTTAAAAGTCTTTTTGGGGCTGGACCCAAGATCCGACATTGCACTGAAAAATATGTAGGGAATTGTCAAGCCACCCCACAAAAAAGAAGTGGTTAAAAAAAGTCGCAAATGCTGCGCAACATTTCCGAAGCTCTCAGCTTGGTTCGCAAAATGTTGCGCAATGTTACGCAACATGTCCACTGCACCAAAAAAAAACAGAACTGTCCCTTCATGGGGGGTAGGATTGGCTTCTTGTGTTTTTTTGTGCTGGTCTTTTGGTTGGACTGCCAGATGTTGGACAACATGTTGCGCAACATGTGGGAAATGTTGCTCCCCCACCATGGCTGGAAATGTGAGGAATGTTGAGCAACATTCCCAAAGAACTATGCCTCAAGCCAGAAATGCAACTGCTGGATGGCTTTTAGTGGGGAGTAGGACCACTTTTTTGGGCTTGATGGTTTTTAGTGGGGAACCAACCAAATGCCAGAACTGCGTTTGTCTAGTTTGTTTGTTGCTGAGAGGAGCAAAATACAGCAAAACCTGAAAATTTGTACTTGTCTTTCTTGAAGGGGACCAACCATGTATATATATATATATATAATATGTACATTCATGGAAGACAATTCAATTTGATTTTGTGCTTTGTTCAATGGATTGTTGATTGTGAGTCATGAGTATTTTCTTACAACATCCAGCTGGGACGCCCGAAGATACGTTCCCAGGGCTGTACTCAAAACTAACCCAACAAGCCCAAGGAGAAACCTCGGCCTCGGACAATTTCTTCTTCGTTTTGTGCTTCTGTTGTCTTTTTGTGGGGGGGAACTTGCGGGACGTTTTGTGTTTCTGTGTGTGTGTGTCTTTTTTGAAGGGGGGGAGGGGGGAAGTTGCGGGAACCATCGAAATCGCGGGCCAGGTTGGGCTGGTGACGCGCAGTGCCAATGGTTCACTTGCGCTCCTTCCATTCGTTGCTACGCCTCTTTGCGGTATATCCCGATCCTTCTCAGTCGACGCAGGGAATCGTGCCGCGACGCTTCTGCGAGGTTTCTGAACTCGAAAAGCGCTTCCGTGTGGAGGCCAATGCAAACTCAGCGAACAGGATTGAAGGAAACCTTCTGGCCCTTTCTCTCCCAGAACCTACCCGCCCGGGAAGTGCGTTGCTTTCCCTTTTGCTAAGCTGCAAGTCCTGGCTGCTGCTGGAGTCAGCCGTTCAAGCTATCTCCAGTGCGTCTCTTCTAAGTGTAAGTCAAGTGTTGCGTGAGTAGATATGGCTGTGGTTGTCAAAACCAATGGGATCCCATTTTGGGGTAGGTGAATTCACCACCCATTTTAGTCTATTTTAGTGGGGAGTGGGATGTTCACTGGGGGTACGATTTGGCTTTTGACCCATGGCCATGTGGGACTTGATTGGGACCAGACAGTGTGTGACACTACTGGGATGTCGCATGTCTGGCAGCCTTGAAAATTGCCTGGAACGAGACCCTAGTTGTGCTTGACAATTCAGGGACGTCTCTTTTCGCAAATAATTGGGACCTTGGCGCGGATAGGAATGATAGGAGCTTGCAAGGCCGAGGGATGTCTTGGCATTTGGACCAGGTCCTGCTTTTGTCGTGGCTGTGTGTTCTCTTTTGTCGGACCTACTTTTTCAACCAGCGAGCCTCCTGCGACTCCTGTTTGTGCGTACCTAATCCTTTAGAGAAACACGTAGTGCAAAGAAATCTGTGCACTGTCAACGACATGCTGAAGCTCGCCTCCAGTGTAAGCCCACAGAAGAATTTGATGCCTCAAGCCTCAACCCGCCTCAAGCCAATGGGCAAGTGATGGCTAGCACCAACTGTATCACAGCCGTGAACATGAAGTGGTATGGTCAAATGGATGACCATGCCTGATCATCGCGATCAACCCGCAAGCGACCAGGCTATCGGAGTGGCGCAAAACAGAGCGCGCACTCACTTGCACAAGCCTCTCCTTTCATACTCATTCAACTGGACCAAGTCAGGTTGCATCCAAACCTAACATTACGGCACCAGGAAAATCAATAAGGAAGACAGTGGGATTCTAACTCACCGACCTGAAATGGGCGTGGCTTTTTCTAAGCGACCCCCGAATGGTTGTCCTTTAAAACCACCAAATAAGAGTACCCTCACAAAAGACACACCCAAATAAGGGTTCCTCGGATAGGAACCAACAAAAAACACTGGGAATCATGAGGGCACCCCGGCTACACATGCGAGTGGGGTGATTCCTTTTTCTGAGGGTACTTTTTTGTGTGGAACCGGAAACCATCTAAAAACACGAAGAACGAGAAACTCCGAAGCGATTTTGGGGAGTGCCCCAAAAACCAGACATCCCCACATGTTTTTCCATTTACCAAGATAACACCATGGGAATGTCACGGCCTCCTTCCCGGATGTTGACGGATGACCTTGGATGATTCTTACAAAGAACCACCCCGACCGCCTCCCTGACCCGCCTCCGGGGCTTTCTGGGACGGCTTGCCGTCCTGCTCAAATCGGAAAGCCACACGGCGCCCGTGAGGAATTGTAGCCATTGGCTCTGGCTCAAAACTTACGCGCCAGACCGCAGGTTTCAGTCTACCCTTCCGTTTGCCAGGACTCCATTTTCGGTACCTAGTTTTCAGCCACACCTGAATTGGGTGACTTGAGCGTTGAGTATTTCCATGGCAAACCACAGCCCCAACCATTGCAAAAGGCCCCCCCTCTCCCCCGAGTTTGCTGGGGTGCTCGAGACGGAAGGATCCCTAATCTCAATCCATAATCCGCAGTGGGACACTACACTCGTGGCATGTTCGGCGATGCATTTCGAACCATGAGTAGCGGACAAGATTAACACCCACCATACTGCAAAGCCGATAGGGGCCCGCCCAAAACTGATGCCTTATCCATTTTGTCAATTCTTCACATGGAACCTGAAACAACCCGTACATGGATTTCGTGAGGGGAGCGTTTGCACGTCAATAGTTTGAACACCAAACGAGTTTCAAAAGCCAAATCCTACGGGCTCAGCGCTTCCTACGGGCTGAGAACGCGCCGCTTTGGGCGTGAGCACCCCGTTGCAATACAGGCATTCAAGTTTGACCCCAGGCCTTGTCACCGCACGTGAATAGTTCATAAAGACCTTCTTGGTTGACGTTGGAAGGGGAGCAGAAATTTAAAAGTTTTAGCAGTTCAGTGGAGATTTCAACCACTAAACCACTAAACCACAAAACGTAAAAATGTAAAATGTCTCCCAACAACAACCATGCCTTCTCCCTGACAGGTCAAATTTGTTGTTGCCAGAAATAGGAATCGGGCCCCACACAAAATCGAAAATCGGGGAGCCCCCAAAAATGTGGTTCCTTGGTGGAATGCAACCCCGAAAAGAAGTAGCCTCCAAAAAAGACAGATGCTCAAAGACCCTGCAAGGGTAGAAAGTTGGATCGACATCCAAAGCAAAGCAGCCAATAGGTCTACGAACAAGCCGACGCCAAGCCAACTCTAGAGAGGACGTGCAATCCGGGAGGATTCTGAATCTGCCACTTGGGGCCACTTGGAGCCACTCCAAGTGGCAGTGCCACTTGAAGTGGCCGTGCCACTTGGAGTGGCTCCAAGTGGCGCCAAGTGGCTCCAAGTGGCTCCAAGTGGCTCCAAGTGGCAGTCCCACTTAAAGTGTCTGGAGATCTGGCTGGGTTCTCACTATGTCTGAGACTGGCTATGTGGCATCACAAAATGGCTTAATCGATGTGGCTTATCTGCAGCATGTGCATGTTGGGCAGCCCTGCCCACGGCAAGGCTGTAGCAGCGGGCAGCCAGGCATTCATTGCTTCATGGCATCTGCTTGTTGCAACAAACACACCACGGGGTAGTCACGGCATGGAGCAACATGCAACCACTAGGTGGAAGGCTCTGCGTCTCTCTCCTACTGAATTTCATAAACTGTTTTTGTTTTGGCTGATGCGTGGCGTGCACGCGCAGTAGATAAGGAGGAAAAATGGTTAAACAGAGAAATAGACAGGAAAAGTTGAATTCTATTTTGCAGACTCCGATACCATATATACGCTATCACGTACACAAGCGGATGTCTTACCTCTCCTGCAGCGCTAGCTTTCTTCATTCTGCCTCCAGCTGGCCCAATTGTTTTGGGTGACGCAAAGTTTACCGAAATCCGAGATGTTTCGCACCGCAAGACACAAACCTACGGCTCAGTCTACCTTGGAAATGGGAAACCTGAAAAAACTGAGTTTTTGCGGAATGTCCAAAAACTCGTTTTTTTTGTTTATTCGCGGCGTGCACGCACAGTAGGTCATGAGCAAACAGTCGAACAGACAAACGGGCAGGAAAAGTTGAATTCTACTTGCAGACTCCGACACAATGTGTACTTTATCACGCACACAAGTGGATGTCTTACGTGTCCTGCAGCGCAAGCCTTCTTCATTGAGCCTCCGTCTGGCCCAATTGTTTTCGGTGACGCAGAGTTAGCCGAACTCCGAGATGTTTTGCGCTGCTAGATACAGACCTACAGCTTAGTCTACCATGGAAATGGGAAAACCGAAAAAAACCGAGTCTTTGCTGAATGTCAAAAAACTCGGTTTTTTTGTTTTATTCGCGGCGTGCACGCGCAGTAGGTAATGAGCAAACAGTCGAACAGAGAAACAGGCTGGAAAAGTTGAATTGTATTTGCAGACGCCGATACAATATATATATATATATCTCCCATCAGGCACTCCAGCTGACGTTTTACCTTGCCGTCTCACATCGCGGTGGCAATAGCATCCCGTCACGCACCGGCGCAAACAGCGCCAGCAGCTAACCCACCGCTGCCGCACCAGGCAGCGTACAGGGAAAGCCTCGCGGACAGAGCACTGATACTTCTTCCATCAAAAAATGTGCACAGCACTGCCCCTTCCGCTCGAGCACGCCATGTACACGAGTATTAAAAAAACTGCAGACACTGGCAAACATGTGTGCATGCCGCAACATGACATGTGAAAAACGCTCACGCAGGCACAAACACCCTCACATGTGACTTCACTCGGACCGCAACTCTGTTTGACACTGCCAACACCAGGATCTTCGAAGTCATCAAATTCACCAGGGGGAGCGCCATTCTCCCCCAAATTCCAATGTACGCTCATAGTTCCCAGTGTGTTGTTAGGTGCAGATGCAACGGACGGTTTGTTACAACAAGGTGGTGCAGTGCCAAGTCCATCCCGGTAACCCGCGAACGGGTGCACGCCGGGAGGCCCGCACACCCTCTCGCAAGAAAACCCTTCCCGGTAGTCCGCGAACGGGTGTACGCTGGGAGGCCCGCACACCCTCTCGCAAGAAAACCCCTCCCGGTAGTCCGCGAACGGGTGTACGCCGGGAGGCCCGCACACCCTCTCGCAAGAAAACCTCTCCTGAATGAAATCTTGCTCAGCAGGTAACAAAACTATTGGGTAGGCAAAGGGGTCACCAGTTGCCCAAAAAGCTTCCGCGGGAAGGCCCTTGCTATATCTCATGACCTCCAAACGCTGCAGACTCCGACGCTTGAGACACTTCGCGCTTCTTTTATCGAGGCAGCGCTGACGTTTGCGCGGTTAAAAAAAACGACCATGACTTCACCTCACCCCTGACGGCAGGAAAGCGGTCTGTCAAGCCGTTGTCGTGGCAATAGAAAAACTTGGCCAGCCAGCGTCCTGGCAAAAGCCGCCTGCAGGATCTGAGCCCCCAGAATCTGATCCGGTGATGTTAGACGTCTTGTGGCAATATCCAAAGAAGACAACAAACGATACCCATGGAAACAAACGTCAACCAGGAAGCAAGAGAGCCTAACAGCTCGGCGAAAGCACCAAGCACGCTAGGTCTTCGCAACCTGTCTGACGAGCAGCTAACAATTACCCCAAACAACTTCCGGCTTGGGCAAAACTTCGACTTGAAACCTTGATCACTGTTTGCAACGCCACGCGCCTGCGACAGGGTCAGAAGACGTCTACCGCGCCAGGCTCAGGCCCCAAGATGTTACCAGCAAGATCTGGCCCCGTGATTTAGACATCTTGCAGCAGTAAGTCAAACTGTCAACTAACCCAAACTGTCTGACGAGAAGCCAACAACTACCCCAAACAATTTCCTGCTTGGGCAAAACTGTAACTTGGAGCCTGGGCCACTGAGCGGCGACGGAAATGGGCGTGCCAACCTTGTCACTGGCAGCTCGGCGAAACGCCAAGCACACCAGCAACAGGATTAGAAGACATCTACCGCGCCAAGGTCAGGACCCAAGCCCACATGATGGCCTCCAGAAGCTGGTAGTAGCAAACGAGGATGACCGCAGTGGTGCCATCGGCGTCCACATGGATCTCAAGAACGGGCCACCACGGCTCCTGGGAGTGAAGGCCCTGGAGGCCGTCTTGGATCTCGCCCAGCTCCTGCTCCAACTCCTCCCATCGCGCAAACGCGTCCCGGGAGTAGTCTCCCCGGTTGGAGTACTTGCCGCTGATCGGGTCATACCTCACCACGGCCAACTCGGCAGAGCGGATGATGAGAGTGTTCTCCACGGGCCCGTTCGCCACGGCTGCCTCCATCACGGTTTTGATTGAACTCAGTTACAGGCTTGGAAAAGGCTGCAAGCCTGCAATTTGTTTGCATGACCGAAACAGCGGGGCACTATCACAGCATTAGTTGATGATTAGCCCCAAGTGACAGAACAAGGTCATACAATTGGGACAAGCGCAAACTCACACCAGGCCTTGATCTGCCACACCTTGCTCTTCGCACCGCCCCAGCGCAATTGGATGCCTTCCCCCTTGTTCAGGCGGTCCCACAACACGACGGGCATCAGCGTGACATCGCCCCAAAAGCGCTGGACCTCCTGCTTGGTCGGCTTTCGCCCGGCAACCACGAGCCCAGTGGCGTCAAGCCTCTTCGCTGAAGAGGCTGGGCCAAAGAGCCGTGTCCCCAGGGCATGCTCTGTGACCGCCTTGAGGTGGTTCTTGCCCTGGGCGTGGCAGGGGTCCCAGACCACACCACAGAACTTGCACCTGCCACCGATTCCCTCCGCCGGCTTGGCAAAGGCTTGCGCCCGGCTCAACTCCGCTTCCGTAAGCGGATCCTTCAGGCCCGCAGGCACGGCAAGCGCCGCACTCAGCCGCTCCTGGATTGTGACCGCGGCGCCCTCCGAGACCATGCCCAAGTGCTCTGCGAGGAGATCTGAAAACGGTGTTCGCCGTGAGGTCTCCCTCGCATTGAGCACCTCCTGGTCCGTCATCGCATCCACAACCTCCTGACACATGCCTTTCTTGATCATGGCTCTTCGGATCCTCTTCGCTGCCCTCTTAGGGCCTCTGTCCCTCTCATTGCGGGCCTTGCTCAGCTTTGAGCTGGCCAAGGTCGTGTTTCCCAAAGAAGCAGCTGAGGCATCAGACATCCCATCCTCATCCACGTGGGATTCCGAGGCTCTCGTGGATGCGTCAGCTATGCTCATCGCCAACTCGTTCTTGGCCTTCACCTCGCAAAGCTTGGACATCGACATGGCTTTTCCTCCAGGGGCTTTTTGGTACTAACGTGCTTCTCTTGGCAGGAGCGGCGGCTGCGTGGCAGACGTGGAAAACAACAGCAGTCAGCCCCCGAGTTGCAAGCTGATGCTTGGGACACTGATCCCCTACGCATAAGGGGTGGGGGACCTGGAAAATGCACATCTGCAGTTTTAAGGTCCCCCCTCGACATCCGGGAGCCAGGACATGACACAAAGCCTCCTTCAACCGCCAGAGCAGAAGGAATGAGTGCGCCTGCAAAGCTCAGCTTGGGCTGAAGGCCTACTTTTGACATCGACCCACTTAGGTGTTTTTGGACCTACATCTTGGAGAGCGTTGTTGGGTATCGTTATCCAGGCAAGACCACAAATGGAGCACCTGTGTGATACACCCTTGCACGCCCTCGCGTGACTCAAGTAATGGCTATTTACATATGAACCTGGTCGCAAATACCTCCGCGCTCAACACCCAGCCGCTCAGCATTCGCTATCCGCTGCACGCAAGCGCTCTGCGCAGTCCTTCAAATCCGCTTACGCCCAGCGGCCGCAAGCAGATTTCGTGGTGCGACAGCAGATTTCTGGCAAAAAATCCGCTAGCGCGCTGGCAAATCCGCTTACGCCCAGCGGCCGGTAGCAGATTTCCAAAACTGGCGTGAGCGGCTTTCGGCCGCTGGGCGGCTACCGGCCGCTGGGCGTAAGCGGATTTGACAGCGTGCTAGCGGATTTCAGGCTGGAAATCTGCTGCCGCGCCACGACATCTGCTTCCGGCCGCTGGGCGTAAGCGGATTTGCACTTTTTCTTAACGCGATGGCTTAGCGATGCACTAGTCCCAAGTGCAACCAAAGGGTTCGAGACGCCACCGGGATGAAGGAATCCAACAAAGTAAAGAGATGCACGAGGAGTCAGGCGGCTGTTTTTCGCCCGCGCAAAAGAACTGCAATAAAATGCTAGGCTTTCAACAAAGGTGGCGCCGGGGTGGCGCCAAGGATCACATGCTCTCACATACATGCTCTCACACTTGTTTCAACATGTGACCAGACATGATGGCAAAGCAAATCTCATGTAATCTCACGAATAACGTATGATAGCGCACTATAGATTCTACGTGGGGAGAAAAATGCATAAAAATAAAATGCATAAGGTACCTAGGTCCCCCCTAAATGCATTTTCCTAGAATGGGGGATGGACACTGTGGTCAGCCCCCCCGCGCAGAAGATCAGCAATCGCCACTTCGGAGTTCGCGTGTCAGGGGTTCCTTGAAATGTGAAAGCCCTGGTCTATTCGAGTTTCGCCGTAAGGCCTTTGGATCTACCCCCGGCACAATCTACAAGATGCTTCAACAGAAGGATTCACGGACTGTCCGGCCTGTGAGTGCAACGAGCTGCACTGCAAGTAGCACTGCGCCTGCCTAAAACAAACTAGGGCAAGGGCGAGGGAGGTGACTGGGCGGAGCCTTGGAGTCGCAGGAGACAGCTTAAAATCTACCCTTTGTATGAAAGCGCAGCTACGGTGAAGCGCCTGTTGTCTGCGTACCTGCCATCTTTCGTCTTCGGGGGGGAATTCGTCTTCGGGGGGAATTCGTCTTCGGGGGGAAATCGTCTTCGGGGGGAAATCGTCTTCGGGGGGGGATTCGTCTTCGCGTCTTCGGGCATGTGGTTGGGCTCGAGTCTGCTTCGGGGCAATGTGTCTTCGTAATTCGTCTGCGTCTGCGGGTGGAACAGTGCTACCCCCACCGCGGACACAATGTTAAGAAAAGGCTTTGCTAAGACATGCCGAGTCCGTGTCTAAACAAACCAAATCCGCGTCTTGCCAAACAAGGTCTGGAAGTGTTTGTCTGAACCCACTGACTCTCACCGAATGCTCAGGCAGCAATGCAAACACGCACGCGCTTGCAACTAAATTGGTAAGGCGGACGCTCGCAATCAAAGGCATCTGTCTGTCTTTTTGCGGCCTGAAGTACTAGGCAGATGCTCTACAACATCAACTCGGAAGGCCTCAAAGACTGAAAGACGGAAGCTCAGAGGTCTGACGCCTTCCTGTCGATAACCACGCTGCGGGTAACATGTGGGGCTCGCGCAACTCGGCTGGTATCACTTGGAGCCTGGCTCTGGGTCAGACGCTGCCTCATCCTTCATCTCCTGCAACATCTACCTCTGGCATTGCCTCCGCAGCGGGAACGCTGGCCCGTGACAACGAGCCGCCTCGGAAGAGTGCCATTTTACGAGGTAGGCGCAAGAATGCGCAAGGGCGAGCGCAAGGTTTTGAACATTTGTCAGCTTTTTTGCCGCACAAGTCTTGGGGAGAAGCGGGCGGGGCTTGGGCGAGGAATGGACGAATGGAAAAGTGTCAATGCTCGACCGCGAACGTTTCCAACCACGAACAAAAAAGCGCAACGCCCGACCATTGCAAAACAAGCCTTCCAGACCTGAAAGCAGCCCCCGAAAAGGCATGGTGCTCTAGGAGACAAAGGTACCGTGAATTGCCCCAATTGGTGTTTAACGCAGGTTGATTCCAAACACCTTTGCGACGAAACAATCATGCTCTCCAATACTTTCCCTTGTGAGGAGACAAAAGTACCGCGAATTGCCCCAATTGGTGTTTAACATAGGTTGGTTCCAAACACATTTGCTGCGACGAAACAATGCCCTCATGCTCTCCCATTCTTTCCCTTGTGAGGAGCCAAAGGTACCGTAAATTGCCCCAATTGGTGTTTAACGCAGGTTGATTCCAAACACCTTTGCTGTCACGAAAGAATGCCCTTGTGCTCTCCAATTCTTCACCATGCCACGCCACTTGCTCTCTCTCTCTCTCTCTCTCTCTCTCTCTCTCTCTCTCTCTCTGTCTCTCTCTTTCTCTCTTTTCCTCTTCTCTGAACGCAGCAGGGTTGGCGCGCACTGCTCGAAAATGCGAAAGTTACTACCAAAATTGCAGGGGCTCACGCGATCTGTCATGTGCTGCAGGCTCAATCTCCGAAGACCATCTTCTCAATCTGCCTGACCGTCGGCAATTTCACCTCAGCACCTAGGCAAGCCGGGGAAAACTGCAGCTGAGTGGTCCGTGAGAATGAAAATCGGTGCTGGAAGGCATGCGGACACAGGTAAACAGCGGAGCCCATGAAAGAAGCATCAGAAAAATCTGCGTTGGGCAAGGCGCAGTCACGCTGGCTTTTCCGCAGCTTCTTGTTCTGAGCGCGCGCCGCCTCGACCTCCTCGTGAATTTCCTTGTGCTTGCCGCCCACCCAGCCCTCGTTGCGCATCAGCAAGGAGAGCGCGAGATCACTCTTGCACACCGTGGTGCGCTTTCCGTGCTGCGCCAATAGGGCGCAGTCTGTCATCCACTCCTGCGCCTCAGTCTCTATAAGTCTTTCGCTAGTCTCTGGATTTTTTCGCGCTAGCAAGTGGACTCTACTGCCGTAACTAAAAACAGAAAATGGCTGCTGAAACCTTACCATGATATTTCCTCAATATCTACGACCCGCCGGGAAACTTACCAGATTGCTAAAGAACTTGGCCCACCGTGGCCAACCCCCATGGCACACAAGTTAGCCCGCAACACCAAGAACTTAGCCCATTTACAAAACTGCATGGCAAAAAAGCGCGTTTATGTTGCGATGCCTATGTGTTTTCACATTAGCTTCTACTTGTCGCGAGCTTCAAAATTGTGCGAGCCGTGTCCACAAACGCTTGGCGCACCAACCGTCACCAACACCGCAAATGGCACAAGTTCTTTCCTCGCAGCTCAAGTCTCCCACGGACCCAGTATCACCTGATGCTTCCCCGCAAGCTGTGCAAGAATTCTATGCTTAAAGTGGAGTGTTGGAATTTCAACATGTTAGTGGGAGAGTCTTCAAAATTGGTGTTCACTTGGGCGCGGAAAACTTCCTGTTGCAGTGTGTGTAAGCTGCCGCATTAGGAGTGGGTTGGCACTCAGACTGAAACACATGTAGGTGCAATGATTACGAAACCCTTTTCAAGTGTCCCCCAGTTCCCCGCGGATTACCTGGACGCAACGCACTGAAAAAGTGTGCACTTCCATGATTGTGGGACCCAGCAAACGCAAAACGCAGAGGGCTGCGGGGCTAATTCCAACCTGACCCTTCCACCAACATCCCGCGTGTTGAATCCGCTTGCGGACTAAGGAACAAACATCTCAAGGGACATCTGCAACGCCAGCAAGGAGTTCTTGGAAAAGCTGACGCGGTTTCCAGTGAAGTCCTCTTTCTCATGCAAGTCTTGGGCAAACTTCTTGGCATGGGCCTGCAGCCAGCAGCGCGAGATCTCGAAGTCGCTGTCGTCCAGACACACAGGCTCAGCTCGCTTCTTCGGCTTTGGCTTATCAGCCATCTTTGCTCTGCGCCCACCGAAGTCGCTGTCGTCCAGACACACAGGCTCAGCTCGCTTCTTCGGCTTTGGCTTATCAGCCATCTTTGCTCTGCGCCCACCACGCTTGCTGGGCTCCAGCTTGCTGACTTGCACTTGCAAGTTTCGGGTCGCACGGCTCACTGGGCCTTCTTGAGACCAGCCAGCTGGCGACGTGAGGTCAACTGGAGCTTCTTTATCCACCTGGCTTTCGGCGATATGGCCGTCCACTTCTTCAGCCTAGAACGGGCGCGCAGTTTGGAGATTGGATGGAGGCCCACCCCTCCATTGTGACACACCCGCGCCTCCACATGAGCAATTGCCTGCGCTCCCCGTCGCTCGTCCTTAGGACCGGCACAAGGCATTGTTGACTGGCTATCGCTAATGCCAAGGCACCGCCAACGCAGGTGCAGCTCCTGCCCCCTTGGTCGAGCAGGCCTGGGTCTGCCTTGCCTCCAGCGAGTGTGTGTGTGACTAAAAGAAGCAGCCTCAGCGCAACTGCGGACACCAGATTCGCAACACAAAACACTGCAAAGCACCCTCTCAAACCAACGCGCAACTCAACGCAAGCTGCGCCTGGAGCCTTGCCCTGATCTCGCTTTTGGTGCCTTTCTTAGAAACCTTCATCTTCGTGGCCATCTC